AATTATAATCAATACCATCTCTTGAGGTCAATCAATCCTATACTTATAAATTAACTTAATTATTTCTATTAAGTTATGAACATATAAATATGAGTTAATTCACCATGATCATAATATATCAATTTTATAGAGTATAATGAATAATGATGTATTTATCTATTGTAAGATCCCCATGCTGTCTATTATCATGTATTAATTTCTACCATATCTGTCGAAAGCAATGTAAAGTACAGAGATGTTCTAATGGTGGCCAATCATCAAAATGGAGTAGAAGATAATAAACAATCAACACGAAAAATAAGAGTTAAACTAAAAATGAGCAACTAATTAATCTAAAAGTTAACAAGGTTTCTTCAAAATCCTAACCACAAAAGGTTTAACTCGAACACGTTACATGAATAATTCAAAATAAAAGTTGATACAACCCTTAATCTTTTATTTCTTCATTGATCTCGAACGACATGAATTATCTTCTTCAAAATCAACCAAAGCCTCTAACGATTTCTTGTAATTTTGCTCTGAAGAATTTGATGTATAACATGTAATTCCTCTTCCATAATTTTATATTTTGTGGTACGAAATCATCCTCTTTCTTGACATAGAATTGCTCTTTACATAGTCCCAAAGATGTCTTGAAAGTCATGCCAATCAATTATTATTATTATTATTATTGTTATTGTTGTTGTTGTTGTTATAGCAAGAAAATATAATAAAATTCATCAACTTTAAAATATATATTACTTGATGATATATCTTCTATATATTAAAAGTGGCTATGTTACGGAATTCTTGTTTTAAACAGGCAGCTGCACTTTCATTCAGTGTTTTTATCATAACTTTATATTCCGATATCCGATTGAGGCGATTTAAAATGCGTTGGAAAGCTAACTCATCTAGCTACAACTTTGATTCAGACATCATTTTCCAATTCTATCACTTTCTATGCCAAAAATAGGTCTCAATATGAGACTAAAATATCGGAGCATAACTTTTCGGTTGAAAATTGATTTGTGATCATCTTTTGCCTAAATTTGATTCCATTGACATCTTCCTTTATCCAATTGACTCCGAGCACTCTCAAATCTTCATCGTGAGGTTCGGTACAACTTTTAAATATTTACATTTTAGTCCCCGAACTTTGGATCCCTTACAATTTTGTCATTTCTCCAAATTTGTCAACTTTTGCTTATTTTCTTCGATCTCACCAACTTACACCACAACATCAAAATCACACATCTAATTATTTATCAATTACATAAACATTATATCAATAATTATTTAATTAACCAAAAAAATTACATCTTTATTAATAACAAATTAATTTTTAAACAAAACTATTAAATATAAATTACGGAAACGTGCATTGCACGTTGCTTGCACCTAGTTAGTATAAATTCCTCTATTTTGTTGAATAATCAAATTTATTGAATAAAATGTTAAGAATAATTTTTAAAATTTGAAAAGAAACGCGTTCTCTAATTTTTATGTAATCTTAAAATATACCCTCAAAGTAGAAAACTGAAAATGATTTCAAAACTGAAAATTAAAAAATTGAAAACTAAAATGCAAACCAAACACCCTAAGTTTTTCAAATTTGATATATCCTGACCCTAAATGACCAAAATTTATCATTTTCCTCTTAGATGTACACACAGCCAACTTGATCTTTATTCTATCTCGTGGAATGTTATTTCTCAAGGTTTTCCTCAATTACTTTTTACTTTCTCGATCAAGTTTGATTAGATCAAATCAATGAAAGAAACTAATTAAACACATAAAAATTCTTTCTATTTTGAGTGTCCCAAATCTATATTTCAAATTAGTGTCCAGGACTAGCTAAGCTATATACGTTTTTTGTTTTATGTACAGGTTTTATCTGTATTTCGAAATTGCATTCTTTTATTTTTTCTATTTGAGGTATTTATTTTGTGTCCACATTAAGATCTCTTATAGGGTTGTTGCAACGTGACAGCTTTTTCCCCTTTTTGATGACTAGTACAAAACTTTCATTTTTTAGAACGAGTAATTGTGATTAAATCAGTCACTAGTATACTGTATCAATACCTAGTTTTCACATTTTAATTAGTCAAACTCTATACATTTATTTCTTGCACAAAATACATCTGTCCATCAAATCACTTGTATATCAATTAACAAACCCCAAGTCTCTTCACATATAGATTATGTTATGAATTAATCGCAAGATAATGACAATAATAAAATAAAAAGAACAAATAAGAATGCCAAAATTTATATGAAATCCAAGATAGAAAAAAAAACCGCAACAAGAAGAGGAGAATTTCACTATAATCACTAATGAATGTGTTTATAATATCAAGATCTCAATACTCTCAATTGAAATATAAGTTCTCGAAGATGTTAAAATGTATATATGTTGAGATACCACAATATGGTATATATATATAGGAGCCTATTTTTGGAGTTCTAGATGAAGAAGAATAATAAAAATCTGAAAAAATGGGATAAACTCGTCGAGGCGTTGGCTCGCACTCGGGGCATTTCTTAGATCAGTGGCTCCGACTCTCCCTGATTGGTGCTGTGGTACCAGTACAACAAAAATAGTCATTTACAACATTAAAAAGGCAACATTTGTTAACAAATGCTGTCAAAAGGGTTTTTTGGCAACATTTTAGTAAGTAAATGTTGTCATTGGTATAAATAAATGAGTACCTTTAACAAAGTTTATTAAATGTTGAGGAAAGTTTTACTTTTAGCAACCTTTATCAAACGTTGCTAAATGTGAGACTTTTCGCAACGTGTATCAAACGTAACGTTGCTGAAAGTCATCTTTTGCAACGTTTGATAGACGTTGAGAAAAGTCACTTTTGGCAACGTTTAATAAACGCTGCGAATTTTTTTTTCCCGATATAAAAGGAAAAAACTCAAAACCTCTCTCATTTCTTCACATTTCACTCTCGACGCCTAAGGCTCTCTGTCTCTCCCGTCTTAAACTCCCATCGGCCACCACCACCACTTCGTTCCACCGCAAAATACATCCTCATTTCTCCTCTCGTCTCTCGTCTCTCCTCTCTCTCGCAGGCCGCAGTCCCAGACTTCACTCTCCCACACCACACACGTTCCGTTTCCGAGCTCCGCCCGTTCCAACTCCCGTCGCCCTACTCCTCTGATGAGGTAAGTTTCGATTTTCCTCACAGTGTGACTGTGTCTGTGTTTTTTTATTTAGGATTTAGGGTTCTCTAATTAGGGATTTTGATGACTGTTGGTATTTTGATTCAAGAAGCCCAGAAAAGTATTGGATTTAATCAAAGGATGGGAAGAAATTTATAGCGCTTTTGTTTGGTCTGAGTGGGCAGCTAGCTAAGTGGTGAGGATTCGGCGCAAGAAGATGATTTTGAAGCAACGCCTTAAGGTCCCGCCACCAATTAACCAGTTCTCGAAAACCCTCTACAAGAAATTGAGTCTGTTTTTATACCCTCTTCTGTGTATATATTCGTTTTTTCCATTTATTGTTCGTATTTGCTAATTTTTTATGAGATTCTGACTGTTATTCTTCTTTGCCTAGGTAATTTTTGTAATTTGTTTTTGATTGTTTCTTATGCTTGTGAAAATTAGTTGAAGGCTATTGATGGGATCATATCTTTATTATTTCTTATTTATGTGTAACATTGCTTGAAAGAAGCTTAATCATTATATTGTTCGTCTATTGAACTGCATGTTGAAATGTTCTATCAATTTAAGAAAATTGTGTTTTGATTGTTCAGGAAGGATGCAAGGGCCTACACTCAACTTTCCGGCCACTTTTACCACTGGAATTTCTAAACTCTGGCCGAAATCATTATAGACCATTTCTTCTCCTGCGAAATCTGAACCCAAAACCCACATTTTCAAACTGATATGGTCCAGATGAAGCCAAAAATTGAAGGTGTGAATGATGAGTTGAACTCAATTGCCTCATAAAACTTGGACCATGCTCCTACCCACAGAAGAGCGTGATCGGCTTTCACTAATACTCAGCAGCAGCTTGATCATATTTTGTTTAAGGTTTGTTTTGCTTCGATCAACTGATGTTTTGGCAGCCGGGCATTTTTTTTTCAATTTTTATTCTTGACTGGTTTGATTAATCAAGAATTTTTATTTACGTGGTAAATAGATGGCTCCAGCTGGGATAAGAACAGAGGAGGTGAGCCATAATACACTTGATTATATTGAAACTTTTTGTTGTTAATTTGATTAATTTTCTTGATGTATTTTGTTTGACATATCAATTGAGCATATTCGTATCAAGTTCAACTTGGTAACTTAGTATAATTTTCTCAGGCTGATATTTCTTCTCGAATCTAGATTTTTTTTATTAGAGTATACTGCAATGAAAAATTTCCAAATATTGAGTGCTCAGATTGGATTATATCTTTATTATCCCTCCTGAAATATATACTATTGTTTATGGAATTGAGTAAATAGAATTGTTTTTAGGACTGGATAAGTAGCATTTACATTGTAGTTAGGCTTTGTGGTCTTGGAATCACTGACCTAGTTATGATCTACCCTGGTTATTAAGGGCCTCTTTTCATTGCCTTTTAGTAAAATTTTATTGTTGTTTAACTTTAAAATGAAATTAAATTGTGCTTGAACCATTGTAAAATTTTATGTTCATGATATTGAATTTGGTTGCTTTTCAATATGTAACAACGAGCTTGTTCAAGATGCTTCTCAAATACAGGCCTGAAGATAAAGGTCAAAAGAAAGAAAGGCTTCTAAAAAGAGCTCAGGCTGAAGGAAAAACACCTGAGGTTAATAAGCCAATCATTGTGAAATATTGTCTCAACCATGTAAGTGGCCTCAGGTCTATGGCTGTGTGATTTTTGGTAATATTATCTCATTATAATGTTCTGTAATATGCCATCGTGCAGATAGTCCATAAGAAGATGGCATTTGTACCTTGATTAACCTCAGTGAAGGATGAAGACAAGATGGACTTTAGCAGGATCTTGGAAGCTATATATTAAGGTGATAAACCAATGATAGTAGTCAACTACAAAGGTGAAGATAAGCAATTTGCAGCTGAGGAAATCTCTTCTATGGTTTTAATTAAGATGAAAGAAATTGCTGAGGCATTTCTTGGTTCAACTGTAAAGAACGTTGTGGTTACTGTCCTAGCATACTTTAATGACTCCCAGCGTCAAGCAACTAAGGATGCAGGTGTAATTTTTGGTCTGAATGTGATGTGTACCATCAATGAACCAACAGCTGCTGCCATTGCTTATGGTCTTGAAAAGAAGGCAACCAGTGTTGGTGAGAAGAATGAGCTTATTTTTTTATCTTGGAGGTGGTACTTTTGATGTCTCTCTTCTTACCATTGATGTCTCAATAACAGAAAGGTGAATCATTTTGGCACTCCTTTTTATTTAGGTGATGATGCATTATATTTTAATGTTCAAGTGTATGGAATAAAAAAATTGTAATGAAATTATCAATTTTTATGTAATTCCAAAATTTGTTCATAAGTTGCATTTTCCATTTTGCCAATATATTTGCATAAATTGTTGTTGTTAAAAAAAAAAAAAAAAAGAAACCCTAAGGCAACGTTTGCTAAATGTTGCCGTAGATAGCTACGGTAACTTTTGCCAAATGTTGTCGTAGGCTGTCTTTCACGATAACCTTTTTTAAACTTTGCCGAAGTCTTTTGGCGACGTTCAAAAAACGTTGTCGTATCTATTTACTTTACGACAACACCTTGATTTGCAACACACGTCCAAACGTTGTCGTAGGCCTATAACAACATTTTTTTTCTTGCCGTATGCTTTTTTGTTGTAATGTACCTGGCTTGGTGTTTTTCCTTTTAAACTTTGCCGAAGTCTTTTGGCAACGTTCAAAAAGTCTTCGACAACGTTTTTGCCGTATCTATTTACTTTACGACAACATCTTGATTTGCAACGCACGCCCAAACGTTGTCGTGGGCCTACGATAACATTTTTTGAATGTTGCTGTATGCTTTTTTGTTGTAGTGTACCTGGCTTGCTGTTTCTCCTTTTGTCATAGGCGCTTTAGTGCCACGACAATGGCGCCACGTTGCCCACTTTAAGTAATTTTTGTCTCTGATGTTTTTTTTTTTTGATCTCAAATGCCTTTTCCAAACGAAACTCTCAATCCTTGATGAAATTTGATCTCTATTAATTACGACTCTCATAACCAAAACTCCTTAGACTTCTTCTATTCAACCAAACACTCAAATCATATGGAATTTGGGTCATATTCCAATAAATCTCCACCTTGAACCAAATTTTAATACAAGGAATTTAAAACACCTCTCTAAGTATACTCTTCCTCTTCCAAACAAGCTCCAATGAGCTAAATCAATGATACATACCAACTAAGTTCAAGCAATGCTCAAACTTAAAAATTGGAAGTGGTTTTGTTATTATATCAGTGGATCATCCTCAGTATCAAGATCTCCTACATAATTTGAATCTACATACCCAATAACTCCATTTGTATTCTACCAAAATGCAAACAAGCATTAGAAGAGCCCCTCAATTATATGAATATCTACTACACTGCTTTCCAATGTTCTTTGTCATGAATGCCGTGTATATACTAACTGCACTAATTGCATGAGCTAAATCTGATCTTGTACAAATTATAGCATACATAAGAAAACCAACAGCATTGGAATAAGGAACCTGAGACATGTAATCAGTATCTTCATCTGTTGAGGACACAAGTTAGATGAAAATTTAAAGTGGGTAGCCAAAGGAGTACGACAGCCTTAATATTCACCATATTGAACATTTGAAGCACATTTTCAATGTACCCTTCTGACTCAAATACAATCTGCCAGCTTTCCTATGCCTTAAGATTTCCATACCAAAAATCTTTCTCACTATTCCTAAAATCTATCATGTCAAACTCCTTTTTATTTTTCCTTCCTACATCTTCTTTATCTTTGGCTACTGTAAGCATATCATCAGCATATAATAAAAAAACATGTGATCAATCCACCATTTCCCTATCTGAAGTACACACAACTATCATAATTACTTCTAATAAAACTATGAGTAGTCATGAATGAATAGAACATTTTATACTATTGCCTTGGTGACTTCTTCAGACCATATAATGACTTCTTCAACAAGCACACAGTCTTCTATTTCAAAAACTTCGAAACCCTCTAGTTGTTACATGTAAATTCCCTTATCAAGTTTCTAAGTAAGAATGATGTTTTGACATCCATCTGCACAAGCTCTAAGTCATTTTTAGCCATCACTCCAAGTAAAGCCAGAATTGAACTATGCTTCACAATCAGTGATAACACATATGTGAAGTCAACACTTGGAATCTGACTGTAACCCTCTACCACCAATTCGGCCTTGTACCTTTCATCTTCAATCCCTTATGTGCCTTCTTTCATTTTGAACACCCACTTGCAGCGAACAACCTTTTTACCCATAGGTAATTTTACCAAGTCTCAGTGATATTTTTATTCAATGACTCCATCTCATTGCGCGTAGCAATTAACCATATGCTAGAATAACATCAATAGATTGCCTCTGAATATGTAGAGGCTCCTCAGTGGAATCAATACTATCAGCTATATTCAATGCAAAAGCCACAAATCTGCTTCTCGTACTTCTGTAGTGGTCTAATTTGTCTACGAGATCTATCATTAGCAATTGGATACTATAGTGTTGCAAGTGGTGAAGGCAAAGTATTATTGTCTGTCAACTCTGAACTAGATTGATATGTAGTAGACTGTTCCGAAACCTCCTGGGACAAATTTACTGCTCCACATAGGTTGAATGATTATGTTCCTTAGTTTAATCAGAATCCCCATGAGGTGAACCATAAATCATAGTTAGTTCATCAAATACTATATCTCCACTAACCACCACTTTTCATGTCTCAGGATACCACAACTTATATCCATTCATACCTAATTTATACCAAAGAAAAATGCACCTTTTGGACCAAGGCTCCAATTTTCCATTTTCCACATGAACATAAATAGAACACCCAAAAATTTTCAAATCAAAATAACAAGAAGATTTATCAAACCATACCACTTCTGATGTTGCTCTCTCAATGGTAGCTGAAGGTAAGCGATTGATCAAAAAACAAGCTGTAATAGTAGCTTTAACCCAAAAAGTTTTAGGCAACCCAGAATTTGAAAGCATACAACGAATATTTTCCATCAAAATTCTATTCATCTGCTCTATCACACCATTCTATTGAGGAGTTCCAGGCATTGTTAAGTGTCTCAAGATGCCTTCAATCCTGCAGAAACTATTGAATTCATCTGAACAAAACTTCAACCCACTATCTTTACATAGACATTTCACCTGCTTTCCAGTGTGCTTTTCTATCAATATTTTCCACTCCTTAAAGGTTTTAAATACATCACTCTTCTATTTTACAAAGAATACCTGAAATTTCTTGAAAAATCATCAATCTTTGTCAACAAGTAATAAACACCTCCTTTTGAAGGTACCATAGTTGGTCTCTAAAGATTTAAATGGATATACCCAAGTGTTCCATTTGTCTTGTGTCTTCCTTTAATAAATCTGAATCGTTTCTATTTCCTTAAGACACAATGCTCACAAAAAATTATCTTACAGATATTTTGCCCATCAAGAAGTCCCATCCTACTCAACTCAACTATACCATTCTCGTTCATATGCCTGAGCCGCATATACCAAAGTTTTGTAATTTTTTCATCTATTAAAGAAGAAGTAAAAACTGCTATATCCACTATTATTGTGAAATCCTGCTTTTATGTCCCCTCATGATAATAAGAGCATCTCGACTCACTTTCAAAACTCTACATTCACCAATATATCTGTAACCCTTTAAGTCAAATGTACTCAAAGATATGAGATTTCGCTTTAGTTTTAGAACATACCTTACACCATTAGGTGTTGTAATAGCTCCATCGAACATTCTAATTTTGACTTTACAAACTCCGACAATTTTGCAAGGCTCGTTATTTCACATAATCATTGCACCTCTCGAAACTCTTTCATATGTGTAAACTAGTTCATGTAGGGACACATATGGAAAGTACATATCGAGTCAAGAATCCATTCCTCACAAAGTTTGGAACCCATGTCAGAAATCACAAGAAGCCCTTATTCACTTTGCCCATCTTCTACAACATTAAACTCCATTATGTTAACATGTTGCTTTTCATTATCTATAGCACCATCATCCTTATTTCTGCTTTTCAAAGTATAGCAATCAACTCTAATATACACATTCTTCTTACAAAAGTAACATGTCTTCTTTACATGTCTAGATTTTGATATGCCCCCTATATTTCTTGCCAAACTTCCTATCTTGATTTCTTCCATGTACAATTAGGCCTTCAGCCTAACTTCCAGATCCTACAGCAAGATGCCCTCATCTTCTCCTTAGATAGTAAATCATCATATACCTCTTCAACAATGAGAGTATCCTGACTATAGAGAATAGTATCTCTAAAAGTCACGTATGATGCAGTAACGAACACAACAACATCAAGGTCAAGTCCTCATCTTCGTACTCAAACTCTAATGTCTCCAATTCAGCTACGATTTCTTTGAACATAGTCAAGTGATCATCCAATGAAGCACTTTTTGACATCTGGTAAAAATACAAACGTTGTTTCAAGTGTAACTTGTTGGTCAAAATCTTTGTCAAACAAAGTTGCTTCAACTTCTACCACAACGTATCGGCACTTTTTCTCCTTTTGAACATCTTAAAGAATTTGGTTTGACAGATGTAGAAGAATTTGAGATTGAGTTTTTTTATCCCTAAGCTACTTTTGATCCTATCTCTAGGTTGAAGGCATTTTATCAAGGTCAAGCAAGGCTTCTTCCAAATCCATATGCGTGAGAACCGCGCGCATCTTCATTTTCCGTAAAGTAAATTTCCATTTTCGATCGAATAATGGAATATCATTTTTCATCATGCCATGAGAAAAATCAGTCTTGCTTGAATACCACTTTTTATGAATTTATCTCGAGATAATTGCTATAATGAGATAAATAAGAACAAATAAGAACATCAAGATTTATGTGGAATCCAAGATGGAAAAAAATTACAAGAAGAAGAGGAAAATTTCACTATAATCAATAATAAATGTGTTTACAATATCAAGATCTCAATGTTCTCAATTGAAATCTCAGCTCTCTAACTGTCAAGATATTGTTAAAATGTATATATGTGGAGGTACAACAATGTGAGATATATATAAGAACCTCTTTTTGGAGTTCTAGATGAAGAAGAAAATAAAAGGTTTGGAAAAATCAGGATAAATCCGTTGAGGCACCATCGAGCCAGGGAGTCGGTGTCGGCGCCGCAACGT